GGGGGGGGGGGGGGTGTTGTGTTAGGATGCGGGCTTGTAATAAGAAGACGAGGAAAGCCCACCACCTCTTTGTTATAAAGCTGTCATTGAAGATAATACCGGTATGACATTTAAGACTTCTGACCTTTCCGAGAGGTCTTCAGGAGTGAGCGTGGTGTCTTGATATTTGCCCACCAGTGTTATTTTGTAGTGTCAAACTGACCAAAACACTGATGGTGATGCATCTTTGTGGGAAAAAAATTAAACTGAGTACACAGGAAAAGTAACGTAAACACTTAGAACTTAGTAAACCAATATTAGAACTTAGTAAACCGATATTGCGCCTGTATGAATGCGGACCTGCTTTCTCAAGAGGAAATCTAGATTTTGATATCCAGGCCGAATGACTTAAAATGCAGTTGGGTAGAGAGGTGTCACTTCGCTGTAGTTTTCTTTTTATCTCTCTTGCTCCTGAGTCGCATATCCGGCTCTTTATAAAGCTGAAGTCTGCAGAATGACGCATGGCTCTGCACACAGATTTATTGTGTGACGGCTTGTTGTAGTCGGATTAAATAAAAATTAAGATGGCCCTTAATAATTTCAGGATTAAGCCAAATGGCCATGTACTACTTCCTCTTTTTATGCTAGAGCTGCGCTTCCACGAAGGCGCTTTGATGTTGTAGAACACACGCTGGTATTTAGGCAATGAATGAAGAAATTTAGCTACAGCTGAAAGTCGGCGTGTTTCGGATACCGGAGATGCACACTTTCTCGTGGTGCTAACCTTAACAATTATGTGTGGTGCGTACTTCACTAGAGTCCCCCGCTCCCTGACTCCCTTTTCCACCCCATCAAACATGGGAATGAGTTAGTCAGACAAGAAGGGAGTTGAGGGACAGGTCATGTCAAAATAACGTTGATTAGGGCTTGGCGAGGAGCGTCTCGTCTTAGTCCACTTCGCTTTAATCTAAGACGCGAATAACTATGCTGTCTTTTTTCCTTCTGTCTTTTCCTTATTTACGTGGATGTCTTTGAAATACGATCTCATTCTAGATTTCCTTCGACAAATGAAGAGATAGTTACGGTTGTATGTGTGTTCTTCTTGTGGGATGTAGAATTTTGAATGAAGAGGTCCCTGCTTTGGATTTGTACCGCTTTTTTGGATTTGTCATTATTTTCAAAGTTGTTCTGGAACTTAATCCATCCAAAGCAGCTTTTGCCTTTGATTACCAGATGTTTCCTTTTCACGCAGGAGATAGGCTTCACGAGCGAAAATGAGCATATTATAGAACAAAACAAGGATATTGGCGTACGAAAGAAGCATATTATACTACCAAAAAAAAATCATAATGCCGTACGAAAGAAGCGTATCACAGTCAATTACATTTTGGAAGCTCTATTTTCCTGTGCACCCCCCGTCGCCATCTATAATGCCATATCCTCCTTGTACAAGCATCATAGAAAACTCCCATTCTGTGTAACCTCTCCATCTGTCACCAACCCCCAGTCAAAGCCTTATTCCTCCCACATCTTTTGTTTATTTCAAGGAACACACATTCGGAGGATTTTTTAAATATGAACATCAACAAACAGACTGGATTTTTTTTTTCATTTTGCAGTGACGTGTTGACAAGAAGCACATATTCCTATCCCTGTGAAACCCTCGAATCTGGGCCGAGAGCCGTCGGAGGGCGGTACAGGAACAGGTGCAGTTTTTGCACTTACGGTTATCCCTTTGCCTCATTTCCACGTCCCATCAACTTTCCCTCTGAACACGAAACGCAAAGCAACCTCGGAACGAAAGCCGAGACAGCGAGAGTAAAGAAGAAATATTTCCCGGAAGACGAGTTGAGTGGCCCCGTTCAAACTCGGTCATTTATCAACGCAGTTTTGTCATCTGTGAGAGTAGAACGCCTTCCCCGGAGGAAATATGCTCATGTCACATTTTTGACGTTTGACGCCTAAATTTCATTTCTTTCTAGCGTGGCCAGATAGGTCGATATGAACTAGGGGAATGGATGTGGGTTTTTTGTAAGAAGAAAGGGAACTTAATAGCATTTTGATCGAATCTTTGACAGCTATATCACATACTGACCCTACCCATACAAATATGTCGTACGCTCGAGATCTTCGAGAATACAATTTTTCTGTGTTCTTGATCTTTGTTCCCAAACCGGGTATGTGTGCTGTGGTCATCATCATCATCATCATCATCATCATCATCATCATCATCATCATCATCATCATCATCATCATCATCATCATCATCATCATCATCAGAAGCAGCAGCAACTTAATAGCATTTTGATCGAATCTTTGACAGCCAGATCACATACTGACCCTACCCATACAAATATGTCGTACGCTCGAGATCTTCGAGAATACAATTTTTCTGTGTTCTTGATCTTTGTTCCCAAACCGGGTATGTGTGCTGTGGTCATCATCATCATCATCATCATCATCATCATCATCATCATCATCATCATCATC